GTGACGAAACCGGAATCTCTACCGTGCCAAATAAGCCTTCAAAGATTATTTCAAAAAAGGGGAAAAAGCAAGTAGGAGTTTTATCATCAGCTGAAAGAGGTACGCTTACAACTGCAGAAATTTGCTTCAACGCTGCAGGGGAATACATCCCTCCTGCTCTTATTTTTCCACGGGTGAGACATCACTTGACATTCGACATTGGAGTTCCTCTGAATACCAAAATTTTCACGCATGCTTCTGGATGGATGCAGACCGAAATCTTTACGGCTTGGTTTCACCATTTTATTAAATTTGCGAAGCCTACCTCCGAGGACAGGGTTTTACTAATTTTAGATGGCCATTCAACCCACATAAAAAACATTGAAGTCTTAGAGCTTGCTAAGAAAAACTTTGTAGACATCCTGGTGCTACCACCACATTGCACACATCGACTTCAGCCACTGGACGTATCATTTATGTATCCCATGTCGACCTTCTATGAACAGGCAGTGCGAGTTTGGCTGCGAACCCACCCGGGGAAAGTTGTGACGATTCATGATGTCGGTCCTCTCTTCGGAGAAGCTTACTTGAAGGCAGCTAGTATGGCAACAGCTATCTCAGGATTTAAGAAGACGGGTATTTGGCCGTTTGAGAGACCTGATCCAAACGTTTTCGTGGCTGCAGATACAACTGATCGTCCTGGGCCTCTACTCGCTACATCTAACCTGCCATCAGCGTCCACTCCAGTGTCAAATGACATTCTCCTCCATAAGACTATTGTTAGTCCTGCGGATATTTTACCTATCCCACGGGTCGCTTCAAATATCGAAAATCCAACGAAGAAAAGGGCTCGATCAGGAAAAACTGTAGTAGCAACTTCTACCCCTTTTATTGAAGAGTTAAAGAATTTGAAGGCTCCGACCCCAAAAAATCCAACCAAGAAAGTTACGAAGCAACTATTTCAAAGCGACAGCGAAGAAGAAGATGATGCAAACATCAGCATTTATAGTGACACCGACAGCGGTTCAGAGTTGGACCTACCAGTTCAAATTCCTACCATAAAAACAGAAGATATTAAGGAAGGGATATATGTAGCTGTAGAGTACAACGGACAAACATTTCCCGGTTTAGTAATTTCAAAATCAGGTGAATCAGCGTCTGTAAAGTGTATGGAAAGGACGCAAAAATATTTCAAATGGCCTAATAAAGATGATGTATTAGATTACAACATTAAGGACATTAAAATGATTATTAATGAACCAAAACAGTTAAGACGAGGGTTTTTCAATGTTCCTGAGCTCTGTTTATATGCTTAGTTGAATAAATAATATTAATCCATTTTAAGTTTTTGTATTCCGCTTTACCTCCAATATGGCGGGTAAAGTGGAATATTACACCACTTTTACTTTTGACGTTTTTCTCCGAAGTGGTGATATATTAGTTTAATTTCTTAACAGTACTACGTAGGGCTATAACGTAAGTGGCTTCTTCCATAAACTCAAACTTTTAAGACGAATACTTCTACCGGGATACAAGCTTGAATCGGTAATTATTCCACTTTACCTACCTTTCCCCTACTTACAATATTATAACCTTGTAGGGCGAAGGATCGGACAGGTACTTTCCGAATGGTAAAACCGGAACATGGTAACAACAGCAATAAAAAACAAATTGACTAGAAATATGTTAGTTATTATTTAAACTAAATCTGTTTATGCTGATTCACTTCCAGATGTTAATTCACCATCACTACTGTCTTCTCCTGGTGTAATAATAATGGGCTCGATAAGAATATCAACACGCATGTCTACGTCCCACATTTTATGTTTTCCTTTCTGTGCATGTTTAATGCATGACTGTCAGTTGGAAGTGGTTATATGGTTTGTTCTAATAATAATTTGACATCTTTTAATTTGAAGGTTATGTTTATTTGCGCTACCTAATTTTTTATATGTGCCCATATCAGCTCGATATGGTTCAATTCACAATGATACGGTGGGGTTTTTAATACGGTGATGTTATGCTCACGTGTCATTTCGTCTACTGCAAATCTGATGTAGGAAGTCTTATGTTTGCGTACTACATCAAGTAATTAAACTTTTATCATGGATTCATCAAATTCTATATTTTTGCTTCCTAGCCAATCTACTATATCTGCCTTTCGAGATGCAGAAGTCAGTATTTTTTCCATACGACGGCTGTGATAAGGTGCATTGTCCATTATAATTACCCGATTCAGGTTCTACAAGAGTCAGTATAGAGGAAAACCATTTTTCAAACACATCCGAATTCATATCCTCATGATAATCGCCCGTTTTGATAGAGGTAAAGGCATTTAAACCAACTTGTAAGAAACCTGAATCACTTCCTATGTGCGTAATAATGACGCGTCTTCCTTTGCCCGAAGGTGCTTTTAAGCTGGTTGAAAGTTCCTCATTAAAAGCCTGTCGTGAACTTTTAATATTTAAGTCTTGCCATACTTTGGATTTCGTATGACCCTCATTCAATCACGTCTCGTCCATATATTAAATTTTTTTGCCAAGAGGTCTAAAATTACGAATTTTTTGTAAATACTATCTCCGCCATATCAATAGTTCGTCTCAGTCGATACTTCAAATTTTAATGGCAGTTCAGCGTGTGGCAAAATTGTTTAAAGTGTTGCCGCTTTTTTAGAGTAAGAATTTTGTTTATGTTTTGATTTCTTACACAATTTGATCATAATATATTATACATTAATAAATTGTATTTATAAATACATACTAAATTAAGATTAATAGCTTTAAAAACTAATTATTGTTGTGTATTGTGATTGTATATATATATATATATATATATATATATATATATATCCAGTTTTTTTTAGGCGTTACGCCCGTCCGGTAGGGATCTATGGAGGAGTATCACCAAGCCGCAAGCCCTTATCTCTTGCCGTACTGCTCCACCATAGGCCGATCAGATCCCAGCATATCCTAGTCTAACCGCAGATTCATCTAGAATTTTAAACTGCTGCGTTAGACTTTTTGATTTCAGTACACCGAGCTGGGGCTCGACCCACATCCACTGAACCATTCGACAGTGAAGCGAATGCGAGGCAGCCGCACAGCCCGCTGAGCTATCTGACCGACTATTGTGATTGTGCTATGCCAAAACAATTAAATAGTCTGTAGAAAGCTGATAAACTTTCATATAAGATAGATTATTTTGAACAAGAAATAATTTCGGGATTTTGTTACTTTTAATGATATTAAACGAGGTGATTTTAAAATTTAGAATATATAATTTTGTATTAAAATGTTTTCTTATGTATTTTAGTGTGTTGCAGTAGTCTTAAAACTAAGTGTTTTTACTGTTAATATTATAACAGTCTGACAAATAGTTGACATTTTAAATATTCCTCACTTACTAACTATTCTGATGTTTTGCCAACGCTGTGGGGTTCTGACGACATAAATCTTGAATGACGTGCAATCATTTTTATATGAAAAATTCTACAGGGTGTTGAATCGTCAAACGGGCCATAGGAAATTCTAAATTGTTGAATTCCTTCTTTCCTAATTATTTTACATCAAAAGTCATAAGAAACTATTTGTAGAGGACTGAAATATGTATTAAAAACACATATTAAAATTTTTCTACGAATTAAATTTATTCCAAAATTTTGTAAAAATATAATTCATTTTTCAGGTCAGCCCTTAAATTCAGGCCACACGAGGTACCGTACATGTGTATGACATGTTGCGTTTGGTCATATTTATGTTTCTGATATTTGACAATATTTGAATTTCCAAAATTTTAATTTTGTGATTTATTGTTTAAAAAACAATATAGTTGATTAAAAAATGTATTCAGTTGAGGATAAACTAGCAATAATAAAAATGTTTTATTCAGGCAATAGTGCGCGAATTGTCAGTTCTTTATTTAGCGTAAGATATTCCAATAGACCAATTCAAAGTCATTCAACAATTCAAAGGATTTTACAAAATTTTGTAACTAATGGGACCGTGATTTCTAATTGTACCTGTGCAAACAATATTGCTGAGGTACCAACATCGAGCAAAAAGATAAAAGAGGGAATCTAATCGTTATGAAAAGGAGACCAAAAAAGTGGCCTCTGATGGCGGACATATTATCCGGAAATGCAAAGGCGCTAAATTTAAATTTTCCAACACTTATTAACAATAGCTATAAAATATTTTTCAGACGAGAAAGTTTTAATTAAATATTAACTATAATAGTCTAAAAAGTGACACAATTGGTAAAAGATTTCAATATAAATAAAATTTCATGTGACAGTTGGGACAAACAATAACATAACCTAACTAAATTTGACTTCTTAAACAAGGAAAGAGACTGTCTATCCTTGTCTAAAGTGGCCTCTCAAGATGGCACTTCCTATCTATCAATATGTTTACCCCCACTACCTTTACATTACCTCTTTTGTCTTATTGCTCGATGAGTACCAAAAAATTTAGAAAAACAAAATGAAATAAATTTTGTTTGTAGAAATGCAGCATTTGTAGAAAATCATAGAATAAGTTCTCGGGCCATTGCAGACCAGTTTAATATTCATAATTCTATGGCGTTAAAAATTTTGAAAAGGAATAAATTCCGTTCATATGAACTGAATACATTTCATCAATTTTATTGATACACTAATAGTACTAGTATTTGTAAAAATTTGCGTATTTTAGTATAGTAATATTGTCAAATATCAGAATCATCAATATGACCAAACGCAACATGTCAAACACATTCTTGTATCTCGTGTGGCCTGACTTTAAGAGGTGGCCTGAAAAATGTATTATATTTTTACAAAATTTTGGAACACATTTAATTTGTAGAACAATTTTAACATTTGTTTTTAATACATATGTCAGTCCTCTACGAATAGTTTCTTATGACTTTTGATAAAATAAAAATAAATTTTGTAAAATAATTAGGGAAGCAGGACTTCAACAATTTAGAATTTCCCATTGAATTTCCTATTGCCCGTTAGGCGATTCATCATCCGGTGTACCTACCTTTATGATCGGATGAGTCAGCATTACATCCGTCACAGAAGTGAACGGCGTTTCCAGGACCAGTCCCTTTGTCGTGCTTATATTTTCGTTCTTTAAATTTGCTAGTAAATGGGTTCCGACTCCAGTACCGAGAGAGTGCCCCCAGACGTATATTTTCGAGTTGGTGCGCAGCTGCAACCATTTGTAGAATTTCACTATATCGTCGACTACGTTACCTTCGGTTAGTTCAGCTTTTGTTGAATCTCCATAACCTTTAAAAAGAAGAATGTAGGACATTGTAGCAACATTATGAGCAATGTTTCATACATTTTATGAAAAGTAGATGAGAATAGTGATATCATGATAACGAATTATCTTGGAATAGGGTTAAGTCACGGTATCTATGCATTTTTACTAAAATTTCAGAAGATAAATGACCTTACTTCACTGTTTTGAAACATTTTGTGATAAAATTAGTGTTGTTCATGGACAATGTCCCCCTCACGTATTTCTGACAGTTACACTAAATACAAATTAATATATTTTTTGGATAATTGAATTAAGACCTAAACATAATGTACTCTATTAAGACATAATCAATAAAAATGGCGGAAAGGCAGCATTTTATTAAAAATGTCCAGGCAATATTTGTTTAAAATAAAGTTTTCCACAGCTTTCAAACAAAGTATTACTTGCCATAAAGATTCCATTAAAAATAATTTTACAAAATGGCGTCCGTCTGCCATTTTGAACGATTACGTCAAAAATATCATACAGATAATCTAGAGGTCTTTTTAGAAAATTTCTTTAGGTCTGTAGAAACTTTCCAATGTCAAACTTCCCTTCAAACATATTAGACAGAGGTGTAATTTTTGTACCTGTACAAAAATTACACCTCTGTATAATATGTTGCATACCATTAAGACAGGTTTAAAAAGTATAGTCACCTAAGAAGGGCCTCCAGTATTTCTTGTAAAGAAAGATAACATCAATTACACCTAATTACACATTAATTACACTGTTTTTTCTTTCCATTCTCTGTATGAGTTAATATACACCAGTAAAACATGCCATCAATCAAGTTTTACTATTTTTACAACAAATTTTAAAAATTTTATGATGTATTATGTCCATAATTGTATATTTTAATGTGTGGTATAAATGTTGAGTGTCAATGCTTACAAAAATAATCTCAACGACTAGTAAGTTACACTGAAGAATTGTGATATTTTTTAAATATTTACATAATTGTCTTTTACAGTGTCTTGAAAAAGGAATAAAACCATTCCGAAAGCTCGACAAAAAGTCAAAAGAGTGTTTTTTTAACATCCCGGCCAATATTCTGACTGCAACCCTAATAAACTGTGTTGTTTGTTTATATCGACAGTCACTAATATCCAGTATTTCTTATATATATATATAATATATATATATATATATATATATATATATATATATATATATATATATATATATATATATATATATACACAATGAATACTGGATATTCGTGACTGTCAATTTAAACAAACAACAAAGTTTATTGGGGCTGCAGTCAGAAATTTGGCCAGGATGTTACAGAAACACTCTTTTGACTTTTGGTCTAGCTTTCGGAATTGTTTAATTCCTTTATCAAGACACTGTAATTAGAAAAATGTGTAAATATTTACAATATATCACAAAATGTCAGTGTACTTACTAGTCGTTGAGATTATTTGTAAGAAGCTATGACACTCAACATTAATAACAAACATATAAACTATAACTTATACAATAATGGATACAATACATTTTAAAATTTAGTTAAAAATAATAAAAGTTCTAAAAATTCGTTTTCTACATCTTCTTGGTGTGTTTTAACTTACCCATAGAGAATAAAAAAAAACAAAAATAAAAATAGTATGATTAAAAATTCATTAGGAGTTCTTCATATGTCATTAATAGAAGGTAATGTATTAAACCTGTGTTGATGGTATGCAACCTGTTTAGCATGCAGGTGTATTATGGTGTGTATATGTACAAGTAAGTCTTTGTGTCATTTTTGATGTTTAGTCAGTAAATAACAATAAATGTTACTCAATTTGTCTATATCGGACTTCTTATTTATACAAGACGCAATGGACTTTATTAAACACATTTCCAAGAAAACACGTTTAGAATGGTTATTTTCCCTTGCCAGAATACAGGAATCCTCGAAGTTAAATTCATGTTTTAAACTTAATACATGTTCTGTCAACGCACATGCGTTGACAGAACGCATTATATATATATATATATATATATATATATATATATATATATATATATAATGTAGAGGTGATTTAAAGAAAAACTTAAGGTTGACTCTTACTTACCTCTATAATCCACTGCAAAAATATGGAAAAATTTCCTTAATACCTCATACGTTCCTACTGAATCAGTTCTGTCTTGTCCATTTCCGTGCATGTACAACAGAACACTGTAGTTTCCATTAGTTAAAATACCATCATAATTGTAGTCACTGTTGTCTATGAGTTCACTTAACATTTCATACGGTAAAATCTGCCACACGCCCAAGGTAATGTTTTCAGCGTTAATCGTCGAGTTATCATCTTCTTGCAAGTTCACGTAAAAGTTTTTCACCCCTTTAATACCGAATTGGTCGATGTCTGAATAGTTTTTCGGATCAATTATCCCTAAAAAATATAAATTTAAACAGGATATACAAGGGGGATACAAAGGAGATAAATGTAAGAAAATAGAAAACTTGAACAATAAGTATGACAACTTCAATTTGTATAAAAATTAAGTAGAAAACTAACTGGAGTAAGAAATCGGAACAACTAATATTCACTGCTACATTGAAGCATATTCAATCATCCCGCAAATTCTTCCAAACTTTTGCTCCCACAAAATTCTTTTAAGCTACGCCCATGGCTAACAAATCCTTAGAAGAATTATGTTATGCTTTCTAATTGGTATATCGAGGACAAGTCATGGTTCTCTGTGATCCTTTCCCTTTTACGTCAATAGCTTGTGCGTTTTGTCTCTCCACTAACCCTTCACTTCTAAGAATAGGTATAATACTCTTTCTTTCCAAAAAAACCTCCGAAAATCAATTTAGTCCCTTTCACCCGAGTCGCTCCTCAATTCTTAAAGTATAATTAGGGCCAATCTCGCATGGGCCAAAAAAAATTCCCTCTTAAAAGAAAATTTAAGCTATTTTTAATTCAAAAACTATTACTTTATTTGTGTACCAGCCTTCAAGTTAAGCAGGTTAACTTGGCGGTTAGTCGTTTATTCAAATTATGTCTTGTACTGTACCTCTAATTTCGATTTTTGTTATTAAATATAGACCTGATGTCACTTGTCTATTGCATCTTACTTCATACATCCTACTGCTGCAGATGTCTGGCCGTTGAGTTCGCTAGATATCATTTTGCCGTTGTATTAACTATGACACTGAGCGTATTTCTGTTGACACAACCGCCGAATTGTTTATTGGCGTAAGTTCACAACAACTACTACATCCTTACCTGAGAACATAACTCTCAGACACGTGCCAATATGAACCTGTGAATGGTTCCCCCAGTGCGACAGAGAAAACTGTCTCTTGTGATTTTCGTCAGCATTTCAACATACCTCGTAACCAACCTGTTCCGTCAGATAACGCGATTAAAGAGTGGGTAACAAATCTCGATCAAACTGGCTCGACGTAGAAGTGCAAAAACAATTCGAACCTCTGCTACTATCGAATTTGTTCGACAAGCGATATTAAAAGTCCACGCCGAGGGATTTAAAGAGATTAAATGTCGCATTGGAAAGGCCAAAAGTGCATTCTTGACTATGAGCTCTATGTTCAAGATTTGGGATGCATTTTTTTATTTCTTCTTTGTACTTTTCTTCGTTTTGGCTAAGTTTCTCCATATCTAGTTTTTGTACGTTTTTGATTTTCTTTCTGGTTTCAAATTGGCTATTAATTTGTATCAGCCTTCACCATTCGGTGATCGCTGCCTGTTGTGAAACGGTTTAGCACTGTGACATCCTTGACTACGTATTTTTGTGTTGATACTATGTAGTCGATCTCGTTCTTAGTTTTGGTGTCAGGGCTTATCCAGGTCCATTTTCTCTGTGGCTTCTTGTTGAAAAAGGAGTTCATGGCGTAGAGTTTCCTTTCCTCCATGTAGTTCATCAGGGTTGTCCCTCTTTCGTTTCGTACACCATATCCATATTTTCCTATTTTTGTTTCTTCGTCATTTAGTCTTTGTCCTAGCTTGGCGTTGAAATATTGCTTACTGCATTGAATTCCTTGATATCTCAAAGGCAGAGAGCAAATAATACCCATTAGAGTGTTCATTAATTTCAAATTGATTTTAAAACTTATGCCGACTCGTATTTTATGTCTTCAAAACAAACAATTTTTTAGTGTCACACTGCACTTTTTCTGATTCACACGCTCATATCCCATCACAATTGTTAGTCGGGTCTTTTCTTCATTCAATGCTTTTGATATTTCCAGAGGTTAGAGAGGTTATCCTTTCCAAACTAGAAGAAAATGACGATCAAGTTAACAACTTGTGCATGATCGCTGAGGCACATTTTAACCTCTCTGGTTTTGATAATAAACAAAATTTTACATAGCTACTGGAAGGAAAGACCTTCAACTGATAGTATGGTGCGTGATTTCGGTAAATGGAATTATCCGGAATTATAACGTTACCGTTAACTCTAACCCTAACAATGATTCTGACAACTTCCTCACAGCACTACTTGAACGATTTTCAGTCAATAAAAAAACAATTTTTCAACAGGACGGTGCAACAAGCCACGTATTAGTTTTCAACAGTCTCGATGCTAATCGATAGTACTAATTAATTATTAAATAATATTTGCAATCGTTCCATATAACTAAAACTTTTTTTAGTTTTTTACGTACATACATAAAGGTTGTCCTAAAATTTACGCAAGATTTGAATTGAATATAACACACTGGTTTTTTCTTTAGATTGTATTTTTTTTATTGAATAATAAATTACACAGGATACGGTTATGTATGTAATCACACATCACGCAAATGACCTCTACTTCTTTGCAGCACACATGCACTCTTTTGTCGAAACTTTCCATGATCATTTTGCGTAAATATGACTGAATTTCGTTGATGTAGCGTTGAATTTTTCCCTTCAATGCACGGGTCATTGTAGGCTTGTTGGCATAGACCTGTGACTTCAAATACCCATAAAAAGAGATCTAATGGTGTTACATCACATGATCTAGGGCCAATTCTGATCACCAAAACGAGGGAGCCTACGACCAGGAAATATTTCATGCAGTAATGAAACTGCTGTATGACCTGTGGTAGCGTCTTCACCTCATTTTCAAAGAAATATGGTCCAATGATGTCAGCAGCCCGAAATCCGCACAATATTGATGTTCAATAATCCATTCAAATAACTTCCTTCGCTGTATATGACCATTAAGTTTCAGTCGTTGTATCAATTGAACTTTACAAGCGTTGAGATGCAGATCTTCGGTGAGTATATGCTGTACATGAAGTGATGTTCCTGGACTTTCGCCAACTGTATTTTTTGTTGCCAACACTTTACTGTAAATGGCGATAAATTCAAATCTTGCGTAAATTTTGGGACACCCATTATAAATATACGACGCCGACCTGTTGCCAACAACAAATTTACCGTCGGTCGCCTGCAATTAACACTTTTACAGTTGTTATATAAATAACTATTGTACAATACAACAACAATTTTATTATTAAAACATTATATATAGTTTGTTTATTATTGGGTTGTTATTGATATAAAAAATTTTACAGCTATTTCCATTTTATAGTTGTTTATTATTGGAACTTAAATAACTTTTGTAAGTTATTTTACTTAGAACAATAAACATTATTTTAAATTTTACATTGTAGTCCAGTCGTCAGAGAGTTGACCCCTAAAAATCATACGAACAAGCTGAATTTTGCAGAGAATATTACTTTTGGGGCCCCAAAAAATATTTAAACAAGATTACTACTTTTACCCCCGAGCAGGGTTACCTGTAACAAAAATCGGTTTCTTAGACAAGTGCTTCGGAAGCGGACAGTTACTGTTACAGTTTTGACTAGAAAACTTGCAGATGTTCATGGTACCACAGATTCACTTAATATTGTACGCGTACGCAGAAGATTAGGCGAATAAAATTTATCATCTTATGTATCTGATACAGGCCCTTTATTTGACGCAGATTATCGAAGATAGCGCTTGAAATTCTCTCGGGCTCATGCAAATTGGTTTATAGAAGATTAGAGAATGGTTACCAAAAAGTGTGAAGAAGGCCGGAAAACGCTATGTATAATGTTGCTTCTTTCCCAGAGTACAGTTTGGTGGTGCAGTTCTATTGCTAAGAAGCCCATACACATCTTCTTATGTTAGGGGGAGCTAGCCATAATGCTGATAGATATATTATGGAATGTCTGGAAGAATATGTGAAACCTTATATGAATTTTGTAGGTGAAAATTTTCTCCTAACTCAGAATAATGCTCGGCCATACATAGGCAGGGTAACAATGGGATACTCTACTTATGTTGCAATTCGGCTACTAACCTGGCCTCTTATATGTGAAGACCTTAACCCCATAGAACATATGTAGGATAACAATCGAAGAGTTGTTAGGCAAAATTATGGCTAGAACAAATACCGCAAAACGAGATTGGTGCTTTGATCCAGTCCATGCCAGAAAGAATGGGAGCTGTTATTTGAGCTCAGCAATTAAATAAAAAACATCTGTCTTTTTCAACTTACTCATAAAAAACTACAGTTTTGCTAATCTCTAAGAATATTATTATTAACATGTATTACTATAAACTATGTACTTACATGATGGAAATATTATACTTCTTTGGATTCCAACACTATATTTAAAAACGACTGGGACTACTACAAATACTATTAAAAATATTAATAGCAATAAAACAAATCTGAAACAAAAGAGATGTGTAAGAGATACGTGTAAACAATAAAAGTAGATATATAAACAATGTCAAAAACTAAGCACAAATTTTAAAGGAAAATAAAAGGATAGGTCAACCATGATGGAGAAAAATTTTAAAAGTGGGACTTAAAAGCAGCAGAGTATTCAAAGGACAATGATATCGGGTAATACCTTCGATATTTGTTTAATCTACCCATCTTAGATCCCTTAGACGTAGTAGTAGTAGTACTACTAGTGACTACTTGGTAGTTTGCTGACTACTTGGTCTTCTTCTTCTTCGTGCGACTAGGATTACTCCTGTTTGTCTGCCTCTTATTCTGTTTCAGTCGTTGTTGACTGTACATTATCTTTCCACCTTTTTGGCGGCCTTTCAACGGATCTTTTGCTACACGGTTTGTTGTTTTTACAGATGTCCTCTAATCTATCTGGTCCCATTCGGTTTACATGTTCGTTTCAGTTTTTTTTTCTTGTTTTTATCCACCTGTTAATATTTTGAATTTTGCATTGTTCGCGTATACTTCTGTTGGTTTGTCTGTCTCTTAATGATATGCCCGCTATTGATCTTAATACTTTTATTTTCATATTGTTGATTTGTTGTTTCGTCTTTCTTGTATCGGTCCTTGTCTCTGCTGCATATGTTAGGATTGGTCTTACTGTTGTCTTGTATACTTTCATTTTGCTTTCCGTGGTCAGATATTTGTTTCTCCATATAGTTTCTTGCCGCTTTTGATGCTTGCCTTGTGGTCTCTGTTCTTATATCCCTGTCACTAGTGATCTCTACTCCTAGGTAATTGAATTTCATTATTTGTTCTACAATTTTGCCGTCTATTTCTAGTTTGCATCTACGCGACTCTTTACTGATCACTATACATTTAGTTTTTTCTATTGATATTCTCATATTAAGATTATTTGCTGTGATATTGAAGGTGTGGAACTGCCTTTGTAGATCATCTTCGTTATCAGTAATTAGTACTGCATCATCGGCATAGCATATTATCGTGATTTTATGCACTCCCATGTGGTATCCGTGTCGTTTTCTTACTTCGTGAATTATTTGATTTATCATGGCGGATTCCTCCTTTTAGTTCTATGCATTCTGTTTCTCCTGTTGGCATTATAACTCTGGTCTTGTTGTTCTTGTTAATTTCATTAATTGTCCTTATTATCTGATGGTCTATTAGTTCAGCTTGTAATAAATTTAAGATGTCGTTTCGCTTCACCCTGTAAAAAGCACTTTTTAAATCTACAAAGCTTATGTATGCTGGTTTTCCATATTCAATAGACTTCTCTATTATTTGTCTGATAATAAAAATTACGTCTATTGTGCTGCGATTCTTCCGGAAGCCTTGTTGTTGATCTGTCATGTTCGCTTTTTCCTCGATTTTATCGTTTATGACTGCCGTTAACAATTTTAATGTACTATTCATCAGACTAATGTCTATAATTTTCAGGATTTCTCGAGTCTCCCTTTTTAAGTATCGGTAGGAGGTGACTGAATGAGCAGGTAGCAGTAGCATCGGTAGCAGGTATGAACAAGCGCATTGACAGTAAAATCATAAATATAGTGCAAACATTATATTGGAACCAAAGTGCCATGGTTCAAATTGATGGGCAACACTCAGATTAAATGAAGATCTGTAGAGGAGTTAGACAGGGATGTGTGTTATCACCACTTTTGTTTAACTTATATTCTGAAGAAATTTTCCAAAACACGCTCAATAATATCGAAGCGGGAGTCACCGTTAACGGAAAATTAATTAATAATTTGAGATATGCAGACGACACTGTGATCATAGCAACGAGTATAGAGGATCTACAACATCTTATCGAAAGCTTGAGTATAAATAGTGCCGAGATGGGAATTACTATAAACGCTAAAAAAACAAAGTACATGCTGATTACAAAAAGGCCACAAAATATACATCACCTATTGACAATAAATGGTAACGTGATAGAACAAGTAGAAAAATATCAGTATTTGGGAACTTTGATCAATGAAACCAATGATCATACTGTAGAAATAAACAGACGAATAGAGATTGCCAGATCAGCATTTATACGAATGAAGCCACTCCTAACGTGCAAAAATCTAAATTTGGAGATCAGACTACGTACCATTCGCTGTTATATATTTTCAATATTATTATATGGAGCTGAGACTTGGACATTAAAAAAATGTAATTTAAAAAGAATCGAGGCCTTCGAACTCTGGTTATACCGCAGAGTATTGAAAATATCATGGACTGATAGAATTACAAATAAAGAAGTACTGGAGAGGGTTGGTAAAGAAACAGAACTAATCACCACTATACAAACCAGAAAACTGGAATACCTAGGCCACGTGATGAGGGGACCAAAATATGAAATTTTGAGACTGATAATACAGGGAAAGATTCAAGGAAGAAGATCTGTTGGCCGAAGGCAGAACTCATGGTTAAAGAATCTACGTGATTGGTACCAATGCAGATCGATTGATTTGTTTAGAGCAGCAAGTTCTAAAATAAAAATAGCCATTATGATTGCCAACCTCCGTAGGGAGACGGCACTCTAAGAAGAAGAAGCAGGTGACTTTCCTTCCATTCCGCTGGTACTACTCCGGTATTTATTATATCGACTAATAATTTTAGGAGCAATTTGCGTAGGGTTATTTCTCCATATTTTAGTAGTTTATTGTTTATCTTATCAGGACCAAGTGCTTTTCTGTCTTTTAATTTTTTTATTGACTACTTGGTGGACAACTATATTTCTGAAGAGGCAGACTGCCCACCCGAGACTTGGGCGGAAAACAGTTCATCGCTGTTTCAGCGTGAGAAGTTTTAACAAATATCGGGATAGTTTGCTCCGGTCCATATTGTGAGCAACGCAAGTAAAATCAAACAATTATCACAACATTACTTATTCTTTTTAAAATACTCTGCTTGAGGTTCATATATCCTTACATGTATTTAAACCAATGCTTGCACTTTTTCCACTTTGAAATGTGTAATTCCGAGTTGTCGTTTTTAATTGTATCAGCCATTATTTCACGTACACAGAGATTTTGCACAGTTTAGTTTAATTTTTGATGGTTGGAAATAAAAAGGTTCAAATAAGATCTGAATGACATATGACTCATTAACTCAACATTTTGTCAAAATGCTCTGTGGTATCTTCTTCTTATTGTGCCATCTCTTTTCGAAGGTTAGCGATCCAAATGGCAACTGTAGCTTTGGAAACTGCTGCACGAAAGATCTTTGTGGATGAGCGGTCAAACCATCTCCTCAGATCTTTCAGCCAAGAAGTCTGGCGTCTTCCAACTGATCGTTTGCCCTGCACTTTACCTTCCAATATGATTTGGAGTAATTCATATCTTTCATCTCTCAACACATGAACCAGGTATTGTACTTTTCTCTCTTTGATTATCCTGAGTAATTCTTTTTGTTTACTCGTGCGCCGAAATACCTCACCATCGGTACTCTAGACTAAGATCTGATCTTGTAAAAAATGTTTTTATGTTCATAAGTGTTTTCCTCGCTTATTCGATTCTTGATAGGATTTCTTTTAATTACTATTTAACTGGGAATAAGCCACAATTAAAAGTTAAAATACGTTTATTGACGTTTCAATTTCCACTTCGGAAATCGTTCTCAAAAAATCGTATTTCTCAGAAAAACTTAAAAGAATAGGAAATAAATTCAATATTTCAACAACATTCAAAACAACAAACACGTTGAGAACTATTTTGTCCAAAACCAAACCTAACAATGAACAAGAAAGGACAAAGAATTGCATTTATAAAATACCTTGTGAATGCGATCAGTTTTATTTAGGTGAAACATCAAGACCATTAAATGTTAGAATAAGTGAACATCAGTCTTATATTAAAAATAGAGAATTTGATAGATCTCAAAAAAGCATAAAATAGAGATATACATTTGGCATTTGTGGATCTGAGAAAGGCGTATGACTCTGTATCAAGGTCAGAACTATGGGAGGCAATGTACAAATTAGAAATACAGACGGAACTCATAGAAGCTACAAAAGCTCTGTATAAAGAAAATAAAGTGTCCATTAAAGTGGGAACACGAATCATAGGGTTGTTCCACATCTCCAACCCTTTTCAAAATATACTTAGAGAAAGCATTGACTACATGGGGAAAAGAAAATGCAAAGGCATGGGAGTACCGGTACGGAACGAATACCTATATCATCGTTCATCGAGTTATGAACTTTTCAAAAATAAAACCCCCATCGAAGTATTAGAAATGTTTTTTACCAATGAAATTATTGAACACTTGGCTCAGAAGACTACTAAATAAACAGCTACTACTAAACAGGAAACTAATAAATATACAGCTTTTAAAAATCAAGAGAATCTAAATATTACACATGATGAAATAATATGCTTTATAGGAATCCTTATTTTGAGTGGTTACAATTCAGTCCCATCAAAACGTCACTATTGGGAGAAGTCCCAAGATATTAGAAATGACTTGGTATCGAGAGCTATGAGAAGGAGTAGATTCCTGTCCATCATTAATTTCGTTCACTGTTCCGACAACACTAAATTGGATAGGACCGACAAGTTTAAGAAAATCAGGAAAAATGAATATGATAAAAAAGAGGTTCCTGGAACTTTTTGTGCTGGAAGAAAATTTAAACTTCGACGAAAGTATGATAAAGAATTTTGGAAAACAAAGCGCTAAACAATTCATTAAAGGTAAACCGATCCGGTTTGGCTGTAAGGCTTGGTGTATTAACACAAAAGAAGGTTATTATGTGACATTTGATATGTATCAAGTGAAAAATGCACAAGTTTTGGAAAGGCTGCTTCTCCCTTTGTTAAACTTTTAAACGAATTTCCTGCACAAAAAAGGAAGTTACCATATCATTTTTACTTTGACAATCTCTTTACTTCAGTAAATTTATTCAACTTCCTTAGATTCAGAGGCTACCACGCTACTGGAACAATGAGAAGTAACAGAATTCCTAAACTAGAAGTAAGGA